CATAAACTGCCATCGAAAAAGGTCGTTATACAAACCAAAACACCAGTGGAAGACAGGTTATGCTCCCATGTAACAAAGTTGAAAATGAGGAACATCATTTAATACATTGTAAATTGTACACAAAACAAAGAGACGCAATGTTTCACACTATCAACAGTGTAAATGCAAATTTCCTGAATTTGGATAAAGAAAAACAATTTAAACATATTTTACAATCAAAAGATAAAAATACTATTATAGCCCTCTATGTGTACTTGAGTAACAGTAAATGAACAAACAAAAGAATACACTCAGTCACACTTATTTAACTTTTTATTTACTCAACTTTCACCTACTTACTTTTTTAGTTATTCATTATTAACTTTATTACATTTTAAACACCAAATTAGAAATGTAAAATTTTCTACACGGTTGTAATAAAGCTGTTATCTATCTATCTATCTAATGTTCCACTTATATAAAGAACCACGAATTGGATTTTAATGAAACTTTTAACGAGAACTATGCAGAGACCTAATTAGTTTTTGGTAAATATTTATGCTTATTAATCACCTAATTAACATAATTAATTAACACTGATATCTCAATGACTGATCATCACATTTGAATAAAATTTGGTACACAAATGCTCTAGGACAATAGACAGGCCTGATAAATTTTGGGTTAAAATCTGATCATATTAATTATCTAATTAGCATAATAATTCATAATTGTTTTGTTCTGTTCTGTTTATATTAGCTACCTGATTTACATAATTAGTTTTCAGCTTTTGCCATTAATATCAGTAATTTTAATTAATTTTTAATGTGTCTTCAATACTCTCAGCACACGGGAGTTCTTCCTAAGCTTTCTTTGATTATGATTTTGTACTGAAAACTGAATGGGGGGCTACTAACACAGGGAATTGGTTGAACCAACCAAAACAATTATATGTAGTGAATTGTTACAATGATTTCTATTGATAGTGTTGCTGTACGAGACGCTGTAGTTCATGGTTTACTACATACCAATGCAGGGGAAACGTTGTTGCATATATTAGCCACTGGAGTTGATGCTATTGAGTTAAGATTGATAGAATATGGCAGGTAAGCTTTGAACAAAATACAAACTCTGGAAACTTTTGTTTTCATCATGGAATCATTCATAGACTGAGGTTATTTTTTCATTGAATCATTCATATAGACTGGAGTTATTAGTTCCCATTCGAATGAAGTTCGAAACATGGACTTATAATTCAGTCTCCGTTCGTCCGGAGTTATATTTCAGAACTCTGCAGACCAAATCTGTTCATTCTTTGCATGTGTCTAGTACTTCCCTGGGACATATAAACATGCAGTGATTTACTGATTCAATTCAAGATAGCTGACTGGCAGCTACTTTATCAGTTTTTTTTGTTTAAATTTGGTACATATTTTACACATATTAAGATACATGTCTATGACGATATATTTTGCAGTTGGATCAAAGATCGACCAACTTGCTTTTTGACCATACTACTATATCTCCAAGGACCATTTTCTTTCATATTTGGTATATACATCATACATATTGGAATACATGTCCATGTCAGTTTGTTTCATAATCAGATGAAAGATGGCTGACTGGCATCCATCTTGTTTTTTGGAAAATGTGACATCTTGGACAGGATTTCTCAGTTTTCAATCAAATTTGATACAAACATACATGTTGAGATACATGTCCATGATGATTAGTTTTGTGTTTGAATCTATAATGGCCAACTGGCAGCCATCTTGTTTTTTCAAAATGTATTGTTGACATGTTTTATTCTCTTCTAATTATACATGTCCATGGCAATTAGTTTCACAATAGGATCAAAGATGGTTGACTGCCTGTAATCTTGTTTTTTTAACCATATATCTATTTACATGAGCCTGGATAAATTATTTTGTTTTAAATACAAAAATGCATGAATAGCATATCCAGTTTAATTTCTGACCATATATTATGGAAGAGGCATTTAATACATCTAATTTCTGTTGATACTAGACCAGCCAATTATTCACTCTAAATTACTTACTATGCTTTTCATCCATATTACTTTATTTTTTGCATGAATAAATTTTCCCTAATTCCAATGGGAACTATGTCATTAACATAGGTCAGGCTTGTGTCTTATTGAATCTTCCATCAGTGGGTTATTATTACAAATTAAATCATTCATAAGCCTGGTTAGGTGTCATTGAATCATTCATAGGTTGGTGTTGTTGCTTAGTTTCTATGTAATGTAAAACTCTTGGCAATTTCACGGCTGGTGGGCCTCTGTTTGGGGTTCAAAATTTCAAAAAATGATCATCAAATATTTTTTAGGACTTCTATTTTCATTGAAAAATTCACATACGTTGACTTTCAACGCTGGCAGTTTTACCACCAAGATAAAAGAAAGTATGCAGATGCTATTCTAAAATTTGATACATTTTTTTCTTGCTGAATTAAAAAGTAGACCGCCTAAAATTTCATTACAATGTCACCCAGTGTCATCTTTCTCCAAAAAATTAACATTAACGAACCTGGTTTGCCAAATTATACAATTATTTTTTTAAAAATGTTATTAGTAATGTAAGAGTAAATTCCAAAAAGAAGTTTCAAATAAAACGAACACAACTGCATTGCTTTGTAGCAAATGATCACGGTAGCACAATGCTGCGTTTAACAATTGTTGATTATTACTCAGAATATAATAACGTGCAAACAGTAAATTGGTTGAATTATTATGAAATGCAAATAAATCTCAACTTAGTTTCATCGTAAGCAAATGATTCCAGTTGCATATTAAACACTCGATGTTGGAGAATTATCTGCTAAAAAATAAACTATGCATTTGAAAAATAATTTAACATTATTTACAGTGATAACAGCTCATTGTCGAAAGAAAGCTTACCCATTCACACTAGTCACAGTAAACATCATACTCTTGAATAGGCGTCAATGACTATGGTAAAACTTAGACTCTATTTTAGGCATCAGGAATGATTGAATTGCCCAAAAAATGACGCCAAAATATTAAAAAAAACACCTTAAAAAACTGCCTAAAAAAATTTCTTGGTCCCATTTTATTTTTTTAAAAACCCAAACTGTCGTTTAACAAACCAATTATAATAACCTTTTAACATTTCTATAACCAACACATTGCATTATGTCCAATATGTACTTGCATTTATAACATTATATATTTATACAATGTATTTATTCATAATCTTTTTCAGCTTTCTCAACAATCCAGCACAGGATTTGACTCAGCTTATTAAGTTAGCATTCTCGGTTGTAAATAGACTATTAATATTAAAACCCAATCAAGATATTATGTCACCTTTGGAACAGGAATTAACAGAGCAACATAGAACTGTATTGCAAGACACTCCATTAATTGCTACAATTGCTAGCTATATCTACCATAGACATGACCCAAGATTACCAACATTATCAACTTTGTTGCTTAAAAGATTAGCTATGGTAAGTAGCATTTCATCTCATTTCTAGTTAGTTCTTGGGTAAAATTTGTGAATAATTATTTATTTAATTTGCATAATAATTATCCAATTTTCGCTTTTCTCCAGATATATCACTAGAAATCCTCAGATTTTAACAAAACCTACTGATAGTTGATAGTTGCTCTTGGGTAATTTGAATTTTGTGCATAGTAATTACTTAATTTACATTCTAAAATTCAAATACGGTAAATTTATCTGAGGAATCTTAGCCAATATGAAAGAATGAATGATTAATTCAACTTATAAATAGGTCTATGTCCTTGTTGTTAAACACAGGACGTTAATGTTTTAATGACATTTGACTGACTGATGTAAATTTAATCCTGTTTCTGGACCAATGTTATTCATTTCTTGGATGTAGTTTCAATGATTTTGTGTAAATTTGGTACAAAGCCAAAATATATTTGTTTTCATTTTCTAGTATGGCCATTTTCTGCCAAGAAATTCAAATGACTTGTTTGAAATATAATTTAAAATTTAAATATTTAAATTTATATTGATTCACTTATCAAAATAGACTTCCTCTTTCTCTTTTTTCATCTTGTGCATGTCACCATAGTTACCATGTTATTGACTCTGTCACAAACAGTTTTAGTTGAATTCTTTCAAGTAGTTTGGGATCTCAGCCAAGTTTGATTTGTTCTATGTATAGTATATTTCAAGATATTCGTTACATTTCACTTAAGGTATAGATGCAGGTTTGTGGGCATGTGGAGTGAATATTTTTTTTTGCTTTTTCTTAACCAGACAGTCTTGGCTAGATAGTTTTAAAATTTCGGAGCATTGTCAGTGCTGGAACATACTGAAAAGTCAGTTTTAATATATAGGGAACCGAGGCACACATATGTGATTAAAAGTCCCGAAAGTTTGTTTACGTTGATCTTTGATTGACAAGTCACTGTTGATGTTGTATGCAAATGAGTTGCTGGCTTCAGTTACGGTGCGACGATGTGTGACTTCCTGTTCTGGACCCTGTTTACTTACCTCAAGCGCTATCAACTAGCCTAGCAAACTACAAAAAAACAAAAAAAACAAAACAAGATGTAGATGCTTCCAAGCATGCAAGCGGAATAAAAAAACAAACATACAGTTGTAAATGATAAGTGAATTTTTTCACCCTTATCTGTCAACATGTCGACAACTTCTAGCCTGGCAGCTTCCAGTGGTTATACTGTTAAATAATTATTTTTTTATTTTTTTTCATGCATTTTTTTCTCTAAAGGAATTTTAAAACTGAAGTATACATTTTTCGTTTTGCTGTAACGATTACCATGCTGAAAGCTTTGCGATGCAATGAAAAAAAAAACACCATTGCTGTTCTGTCCAAATACACAAATGTAAAATGCTCAGTTAATTAAAAAATACCTCGGAAATTACAGAGATGCTGTTTTTAAACACCACGAAAAAATCAAGCACTCTACAATGCCATCTTGGTTACCTTAATCGGAACCATGCACCGGTAGCGATGTCGTCTCGTCTGTAGTTGAATGAAACCTGTCTCGATTTACAATACTTTCTAAGGCGACTTCATTTCAAATTTGTTTCACAGACGTTTCAGTGACTGAGTAGTAAAAACTGTGAAACGGTCCATTTTACTGGCGATCACGAAAAACTGCGTCATACAAAATATTTTTTTTTAAACGTTTCAGGAAACGTAAATTTAGACTCAACCCACCCAATGGTGATCGCTATGTTTATATAGCTGTGTGAATATCTCATCGGCTTCATGTAATCCATTGTGCTCCTCCCTCAGTTTTCATGCAAGGTATTGACTTCGCGGACGATTTTACATCTGCTTCCCTCAAATTGTAAATATTTTTATTTTATTTATTTATCTGACGATTGAACATCATCATTGGTATATGGTGGATTTTGGCATGTCATTGTGATGCAATAGCCATTTTTGTGGATGATAAATGTCACTTTCATGAAACGAACAATATCTCCATTCGTGTTTTCTGGTTGGTCAGAGAGATTGAAAACTAATTAGCTTCCACAGTTTTTGTCTTAAAAATTTTCACACTATTTCGACTATGTCTCTAAGAACAAAAGATGTCTTGGACAATGACATTCAAAGTGTAAAATACTGACCGGGATTGAATGAATCTATATATTGAGATTAATACAGTACATGTAGTATTATTTGATGAACTACCTTTATAATGTCAATTAACTTAATTCTATTTATAACTTTTCTCTTACTTATTTTAAATCTATTGGGACCTTTTTGTCACCTTCAAAATGCATTTTCTTCAGATAAAATCATTCACTGTGTTTAATAATTATAGTCTAGATGTAAATGACTTGATAGTTTATCGCATACCTAGTATTGCCCGGCCTCGTAGTTCTATGGGGTTTATCGCATACCTAGTATTGCCCGGCCTCGTAGTTCTATGGGGTTTATCGCATACCTAGTATTGCCCGGCCTCGTAGTTCTATGGGGTTTATCGCATACCTAGTATTGCCCGGCCTCGTAGTTCTATGGGGTTTATCGCATACCTAGTATTGCCTGGCCTCGTAGTTCTATGGGGTTTATCGCATACCTAGTATTGCCCGGCCTCGTAGTTCTATGGGGTTTATCGCATACCTAGTATTGCCCGGCCTCGTAGTTCTATGGGGTTTATCGCATACCTAGTATTGCCCGGCCTCGTAGTTCTATGGGGTTTATCGCATACCTAGTATTGCCCGGCCTCGTAGTTCTATGGGGTTTATCGCATACCTAGTATTGCCCGGCCTCGTAGTTCTATGGGTAGTGCGCCTTCATATCAAGACAATAATTTCTCTTATCAAATACCTCATATTGCTGGCCTTGTAACACTTTGGGAAGTGCGCCCTTGTATCAGGACAATAATTTTCGTAGTAAAAATGTAATTACACCTATAGAGTATATGATAAAACCTTTATAGGATAGAGACTGCTTTTGCAGCCCTTGGCCATACTGCTTACATGTCCTCGTAAGCTTGGGTGTTTCTGCCATATGACCCCGGGTCGCAAAATCAAATGCAGCCTCTAGTCCATAAAGAATAACATGTTCTGGTAATTTGTACATACAGGTTGCTCCAATGTCAATTTATGGTTCACTTGGTATTCAAGTAGAAGCACTTAAAGATGCTTATCAATCAAGATTAGAAGCATTAACTGAGGTATGTATTGTTAACATTGACTAACCTGTGTACCTGTGTTTTGACTGACCTATGTATCTTTCACATTGACTCAACTATATATCTTTCACATTGACTGACCTATGTATCTTTCACATTGACTCAACTATGTATCTTTAACATTGACTGATCTATGTATCTTTCACATTGACTGACCTATGTATCCTTCACATTGATCTATGTATCTTTCACATTGACTGATCTATGTATTTTTCACATTGACTGATCTATGTATCTTTCACATTGACTGATCTATGTATCTTTCACATTGACTGGCCTATGTATCCTTCACTTTGACTGACCTATGCATCTTTCACATTGACTGGCCTATACATCTTTCACATTGACTGACCTATGTATTTTTCACATTGACTGATCTATGTATCTTTCACATTGGCTGACCTATACATCTTTCACATTGACTGACCTATGTATCCTTCACTTTGACTGACCTATGTATCTTTCACATTGACTGGCCTATACATCTTTCACATTGACTGACCTGTGTATCTTTCACATTGACTCATCTATGTATCTTTCACATTGGCTGACCTATGTATCTTTCACATTGGCTGACCTATGCATCTTTCACATTGGCTGACCTATGTATCTTTCACATTGGCTGACCTATGCATCTTTCACATTGGCTGACCTATGCATCTTTCACATTGACTGACATATGCATTTTTCACATTGACTGGCCTGTACATCTTTCACATTGACTGACCTATGTATCTTTCACATTGACTCACCCATGTATCTTTCACATTGGCTGACCTATGCATCTTTCACATTGACTGACCTATGTATCTTTCACATTGACTGGAATATGCATCTTTCACATTGACTCACCTAAGTTTCTTTCACATGACTGACTTATGTATCTTTCACATTGACTCATCTATGCATTTTTCACATTGACTGACTATGTATCTTTTACATTGACTGACATATGTATCATTCACTTTGACTGATCTATGTAAATTACACTTTCACTGACCTATGTATCTTCAACATTGGCTGACCTATGCATCTTTCACATTGACTGACCTATGTATCTTTCACATGACTGACTTATGTATTTTTCACATTGACTCATCTATGCATTTTTCACATTGACTGACTATGTATCTTTTACATTGACTGACATGTGTATCATTCACTTTCACTGATCTATGTAAATTACACTTTCACTGACCTATGTATCTTCAACATTGGCTGACCTATGTATCTTTCACATTGGCTGACCTATGCATCTTTCACATTGGCTGACCTATGCATCTTTCACATTGACTGGAATATGTATCTTTCACATTGACTGACCTATGTTTCTTTCACATGACTGACTTATGTATCTTTCACTTTGACTGACCTATGTATCTTTCACATTGACTGACCTATGTATCTTTCACATTGACTGACCTATGTATCTTTCACATTGGCTGACCTATGTATCTTTCACATTGGCTGACCTATGTTTCTATCACATTGACTGACCATAATGAGTGATTTTCTGTCATAGACCATCGTCCACTTCAACTCTGATTCATTTGAGACTTGGTGTATACATATCTGAGATAGACCTCACTTGTGCATTTCATGGTGATATTTTTAATTTTCTTATTTTGGTGAATATTTTTGTTAAAAAGTGATATTTTCGACTTCTTGTTAAAAACCGCAAGTCCGATCAATTTCATATTACATATATCTACATACTACACATACTACAGGTACCTCTCTTCAGATTTGTTCATTTTGTGATGATATCTTCAAATTTCATGATTTGCGAAGCGGAGCAATCTTAGCCGAGAGTCTACTTGTTTTCACACCCTGATAGCAGAATAGTGTTCTCCAGGTGAAACAGGTCATCTCAATATCTACAATGTTATGTATATATGAACACTGCATGTAGTACATCACAAACAATGTCCTTGCCACTTCCAACTGATTATTTTTCCTTGTTTGGATTTCAGGATACAAGATTAAAAGTGGTAATATTGGAGTTCTTGACAGTTGCTGTAGAAACACAGCCTGGTTTGATTGAATTGTTTTTAGACCTAGAAGTCAAAGATTTAAGTAGACTGAATGCTACTGAAGTGAAATCAACGACAGAAAAGGTAACTACAACTTAATGGCTATCAATGTATAATTATATTAAACTAGATACAATTTTGGTTTAAAGTGTCTTCCTGTGCTGTTTAATTAAATGTATTTTGTATTATTTTTTTATTAGTTAGATATAAATGCAGGCCCACTATCTTAAGTCTAGTAAATGTTTGTTGTAAATTTTATAATTTGACGGTTCTTTAGTACTGCATCTCCCCTCACCTGACTACTAAGATTCTCTGACAACTCATCGACTACTGTGTATCACTGACAATGACTTGTTCATTTCAGGAAATCAACCTTGGTAAATGGAGTATATTACAAATAGTTTTGGATATGATAGAGTCTAATAAACAGGTAATACAAATCTATCCACTTTATAAGATATCTGGTCATTTTGTTGACAGTCTTCATTCTTTAGAAAATCTATCTTGTCCAAACCAATGTTGCTTTCCTGTTTGCAGGGTACGACGCATTGTCCACCAGAGTTACATGCTGCTTGCTTATCATTTCTTTACTCATTATGGCAAGATAGGAGAGATACTGCTATGTCTGTTCTCAGAAAAAGGTGATTATCACATTACTCAAATTACACATGAATTGTCTTTATCAAAAGTATTCATTCTATGTAATTGGCATAAAGAAACCCTCCCTTTTTTCATCCAATCAAGATATTTTTGTCCTGAAAAAAACACCCACAAACAACATTTCATCATTACTTAAGTATGCATGAATTGAGTAATAATAAAATACATAGTATGCTAATATAGCAAAGCAATTTTTAAATCTGTATAATTATAAATGTTCTTTTTGCAGACCACAGTTTTGGGAGAATGTTACGACTCCACTATTTAAAGATCTAACATTGTCAACAGATATTGGCACTAAGGTAAACAAGACAGCTTGTCATTGGGTGGGTGACCACTTAATAATACTCAGACTGTTTTCTATAAAATTTTGTATAAATATCACACATGTTGCGTTTCTGTAACCTTAATCCTTCATTGGACTTTTGTCTGTGTGTCCATTTTCAGTGATACTCCCATAACAAACATTGACACGCAGATCGCCACAAACCAACCGATCTGACACATACCGCGCGTGGAACTATGGGAAAAGTGGTCGGAACTATTTCCAAATTGTGTCAACGCATGTGGCGCTATTTGGTTGGTTTGCAGCAATCTGCAGGGTAATGCCAATATTGAGAAAAATTAGACCTTTGACCTCCCAATTTACATGCATTTTAATGTTTATAAAATAAGACATTCTGATGAGTGTTGTGCATTATTTTAATTTATCAACTCATTAAAGACTAAATCTTGCTATCTTGCTAAAAATCAGGAGAGAATATGTTCAAAACAAGAAAAATACTTGTATATCGTTCCACGGAAGAAACACTGATTAAAATGGTGGCGGTTGGATATTTAGACTTGAGAGGCTCGTTATGTGTCATAAGACACAGGTCTGTGCTGAATAGCGCCACCTGAGTTGACACAATGCCATGACAAATTTTGTTCGAAACTATTACCTAGTGAGTGGCAGCTTTTCTTAATGTCAACATACTGGTGGGCCATTTTTGTTAAACATTAAAACATCAACTACTTGTCAGGCATACCTTGGCTAATTTAATTAAAACATCAACTACTTGTCAGGCATACCTTGGCTAATTTAATTAAAACTGGATATTAAAATCCCCCATGGTGAGTTTATAATGACATTTGTTTTTCAATTGGATTCAAGTAACTGACTACCGAGGCGTACAACAGATTTATATGTATGGTTAATAATGTATTGGGTTAACTTTGATTACAGGGTATTAGTGCTGAAGTAAAAACAGTGGCATATGCAATGAAGATAATATCCTCAGAGAGTTATTATATAGCAAGGTATGGAAGATTCACATATGTAGGGTAATGTGTCTGCTGACTGTTGTAGCTTGTAATGGTAACATGTCAGATTGCGGTAATAAAAATAATGCAAAAACGCTTGCTGGAAAATGTGTGTTGACCAAATGTATAACCCAAAATTGTGTCTATTCTTGGCCTATGTTATTAGATCTTGTGCTGTCATAATAAAGTATTTATCTTGCCATGTATTCAGTCTGATTTACTTGCTATTTTAGCAGCTACTTGGAGGTTTCAAAAACACCTAGATGTTCTTTTATCTTGTGATGATAACATTCTGTCACTGTGATGTCATCATTCCCCAAGAATTATTCATCTAATTTGGGCCTTGTATACAATATATATGCTTTCAGTTTGAGAACAAATAATTAGAAGAAATATTCCAATTCTCTGGTTTCCCCTAAACCATGCAAACTGGGCCACTGTATGATATGCAAAATAGAGGTATAAATCAAGCAGTGCTCATTGGGTAGTCCATTCATGGTGTTGTCCAGTGTGACTATGCAAGTCTTCATTGTTGTAATGCTTTCATGTATTTATGTCATAATGGTCTTAAGACTCAAACTATTTTTCTATATCTGTTGCTGTAAAGTGCAAACAAACCTTTGATGTCAGTGCTGTTTTTATAGTGAGTCATGTGTACTTTTGTGGTCTTTGATGTCAGTGCTGTTTTTATAGTGAGTCATGTGTACTTTTGTGGCCTTTGATGTCAGTGCTGTTTTTAGCTCCGCTGTCGACTTCGTCGAGCGGAGCTTATCATATGAGTGATTGTCCGTCGTCGTCCGTGTCAATGTTTTACTTTTTTGACTTCTTCTTGAAAAG